AGAATCGTACCCAGAGCAATACCCGGGAATATGTAGGCGTTGTTGCCTTGCCCAGGCTTGTAGATGTGCCCGTTATATTCAACATCCGGGAAAGGACTTCCACTGGCGAATAGAACACTACCCTGAATGAATTAACAGCTAGTAGAATAACAAAACTGCAAAATCGATTCACAAAAGGCTGCAACAACAACAACAACAATACGAACATTCGTAAAACGATACGCCTCATCGGCAGTGCATTCGGCTTTACTGGTCGGGTTCGAGAGGGCAAAGATTATCGGATGTTCGTTGATCTCAGCCATCAGACGGATCACATCCTCCGAAAATGCCCCCCGCACTGTCGACGCACCTATTAAGGCTCCAGGTCTGGCCGCTCGAATCACCTGAAACTTTCATTATCACTCTTAGGTAATTAATGATCATCATTAACACTACTACCATCTTAGGATCTACGACAATTTGGTGCGTCTCTACGACAATTTGGCGCGTCTCTACGACAATTTGGTGTATCTTTCATTACACGCTCGCGCGCACAATGAGAGACACACCAAATTGTCGTAGGTAGACCAAGCATGGAGTGTCCGACAAACGCATACATACACCTTGACTCCGACAAAAACTACCCAGCTACTCAATGCTTAAATATACGCAAATTGTCGCAAACGCAACTGGTCTTGTCGCCAACCAAATTGTCGTAGACCATTGCGCCACAGTGCGCGGCGCGCGAATTGCCAAGTGATCACCCCCCCCCCCCTCCAAAAAAAATCCAGGATAAAGAATAAAGTGGGATAAATAGAGTCAGGTAATTAATTAAAAATAACAAATGAATGAAACCCAAACGCACGTACCTCTAAAATATCGCTCGTCTCGGGCATGTCCTTTGCAAATTTCACGTGTCTATCGTTCAACTGCTTGCGATGTTTGGTCACCAACCCATCGATATCCATCAGATAGATGCGGTTACAAGCCTCCTCTTTAGAGATGCCTTCGTTCTGCATCTGGTGCACTATCATCTCGGCGATTCCCGTCGATGCCTTCAATTGAACATTACAACGCAACTCGTCAACGATTCAAAACGCGCATTTTCATAAGATAAATTGATTATTTTGACGACTTAAATACGACTAAATGTTTATTGATTATTGATTAAATCGATCGATTAATCGTCAGCATCAACACCAACATCAATCGATAACTACTCACCGCTCCAGCCCCGAAGAACAGATACCTCTCTTGTGAGACCAGCTTCTTGGTCACACGCGAACATGTCAATAGACCGGCCACTGTAACTGAGGCAGTTCCTGAACATATCATCATTATTATTATCATTGTCTTACCATACAATACAACCAATAAACAGTCAAACAGATCAGATCAGATCAGATCAGAGCTTACCTTGAATATCGTCGTTGAACA